CACTATATTTTATAGTTCGTTTTGGCCTCAAACATATATTTATAGTTCATCTAAACATAAAGATATAGTAGAATGAACACAGATTCATAGTCACCATCTTATTACTTTATATATATAGTAAAGCACCTTTTGGGAATATAGTTACATGTACCTATATTTGCACTATATTTTATAGTTCGTTTTGGCCTCAAACATATATTTATAGTTCATCTAAACATAAAGATATAGTAGAATGAACACAGATTCATAGTCACCATCTTATTACTCTATATATATGGTAAAGCACCTTTTGGGAATATAGTTACATGTACCTATATTTGCCAAATATTCCAATTGTATTGACTATATAAAATAGTTAATTTCTCTTACCATTCAATATTTGCCACCTTACCATATTTTTTATTTCAAATAATTATAATTCTTGGTAAAAATTTTACACGGGTCAGTTATACTATACTCATATTGTAAATATTACAAATATTATGGTAACATTTACTATAAAAATTATATTCCTAACTATAATATTTTTACTATGTCATTATAGTTCCAAATATCATACATTTTTCTCTCAGTGTAGGAGAGTAGGGAGATTTAATCAAGCAGGATTGGCCATATCCTGGAAAAAAAGACGAGCTCTAAATGCAAATGGTGCTTGCCAATATAACTGCGGTACTAACAATGTAACTTGAATCTCTTATTTTGAATCGAGTGATATCTCTAGTAAATATCTAGGTGAATCTAATTGGACAATTTTATTTTAGATGACGGATTATATAATAATATTTCATGAACTATGTATTATAATTATATGAATTATAATTATATGAATATAATTTTGTATTAAATAAAATCATATATTATAATTATATGAATATAATTGTGTAGTAAATAAATTCATGTCATGACAAAGATAATATCTTAAATAAAATACATTTACCTTTCTATTAACGAAAAAAAATTCCGTGCAAAATTTCAGCGAAATAAAAAAAATATATGCATCAGCAAAGTTGACGCTAAATAAAAGTATGAAAACATCAATTTTATGAATGTTTATGTTTTTGAAATTTATTTTATATTTTTTTTTAATTTTAAGTCTTGAGAATATTTTTATCAAGTTTTACGTCCAAATTGGATAAGACGACGGAATTATGTACTGATATTACGACTTCGAAAGAAAGGAAGAGAAAAATTGGAAATAGAAAATATGCAATCTTCGAAATAGAAAAATAATATATTACATAAAGGACATAATTTACTATTTTTATTTAAGACTTTAATTATGTTTTCTATTTGTTTCTGAATAATCTTTTGTAGGTTCTTTGTATTCGTTATCTCATTTAGAAAAGAGGCCTTTGCGGTTTCGAACAAATTAGTTTTTAACTCAGAATGTCACAATAAGGAATTGTCGGGCAAGAAATAGAAACATACATAAGAAATAAAGTCAGCAAATTTTGTGTTCTAACGTGTCTAAACGTGTAATATGTAAACACACAATATCTTGAAATATAAATGTATATTTAATCTAGTTCTTGAAAACAAATATCGTTTCGTTATTATTTGATTTAATCCAGTTTTTGTGCAAAGCCAAACAAAGGAGAGAGTGATTGGCTATAAAAACGTTCGCAAGAGAACAATATTAAAGGCGAACGAGAAGACGGCATAGGACATTCTGGCATAAGCGAGAAGAGTATCAAGTGAAAACACAATTCGAAGATGAACGTTATTACCGCAAATTAACTTTCTGAAATCCCCCGATTAAATGAGGATCAACTGATTCGACCACGAGGACATTCATTAATTTTTATCGGTATGACACTATCATTTTTTCTTCTGCTTATAATTTCTTTTTACAAGTACAAAATTAATCGACTAGTTCAGAAAGTGTTCCGACATAATAATATAACATATAATAAAACTTCCTAATAATACATAAAGTAGAAATTTGTACTAAATATATAAATATATAAAGCTAATCTCTAATAACATATAAAGCAAAATAATATATAAAGCTAATCTCTAATAATATATAAAGCAAAATAAGTATTAATTTTAAATATGATATGCCTTACAGAATTCAATCTTGACTCACGTTACGCAATCATGGAGAATTGCATGAACGCTAGTTGTGCAGCTGCCGCGAGCGGCAATACGACGTCCATTTTTCTACAATTGGTGAACATGATTCTAGCCGCACAGTGCAACTTGAGCAGCCACGACAATTACCCACCGGATCGCACGAAAGAAATCCTAGACAATCCCAACTTTGACTTTATTATCGTGGGCGCGGGAAGCGCCGGATCCGTGCTGGCCAATCGTTTAACTGAACGAAACTGGAAAGTACTGCTGATAGAAGCCGGCGACTACCCGACATTTGCTAACGAAATACCCGGATTGTACATGCAGTTGCTAAGATCCCCGGGGGATTATTACTACGAGGTCGAGCCCGAGAAAAAGGCTTGCCTGGGTTCCAAAACGAAAAGGTGCAGATGGAATAAGGGCAAGGTTCTCGGCGGCAGCTCCTCAATGAACGGTATGCTTTTCGTTACTGGCAACGAGCAAGACTACAACGAGTGGGCCCAGATGGGTAACGTAGGCTGGAGCTATAAAGACGTTTTCCCGTACTTCAAGAAAATGCAGAACTGCGGCAGCGCGAACACTCCCGCGTGGAGAAAGAAATTCTGTAGTCCTGACGGGCCGTTGCATGTCAGATATTACAACTACTCCGACACTGAAATATACCAGTTGATCATGAATGCCACCAGAGACATAAACATACCTACTCTGAAGCCTCTCGTCAATGACAAGTACATTGGATACGGTTTGGCTGAAGGAACTTTGGACGATGGCCGCAGGATGAGTGCAGCGAAAGCATACCTGCATCCTATCAGAAACAGGGAAAATCTTTACCTCATGACGAATGCGCGAGTTGACGCTGTGCTCTTAAGGGAACGTAATGCATATGGCGTACAAGTAACACTGAAGAACGGCAAGTCGGTCCGCTTGCACGCGACGAAAGAGGTGATCCTCTCCGCTGGTAGTATCGCCAGCCCACAAATATTGATGCTCTCCGGCATCGGACCCAGAGAGCATCTTACCAAAATGGGAATAAAGACTGTTGTTGATTTGTCCGTCGGTAAAAATCTTCAGGACCATATTGGCTGGCAAGGCATGTACTTGACCTACAAGAACGACTCTAATATAGACGTTACGCCTATAAACTTCCTGGACGAGGCTTACCAGTGTCTGATAAATAAACGAGGTATTTTCTCAACTTTGCCTGGCTTCGATGTCGTAGGTTTCCTCAATTTAACCAACATGACTTCCAAGTATCCCGACGTCCAGTTCCTTCACGTTCATTATTTACGAAAAGACATACAGAAGATAAAGGCGATAACGAATATGTTCGACGTGGACGACCGTATAGTCAAAGAATTAATACTCAAGGTTACCGATCAAGACATACTGCAGCCTATTCCGGCTGTGCTAAAACCGAAAAGCGTGGGTGAGTTGCTGCTACGTAGCAAGAATCCGGCAGTTCCTGTCAAAATACACGCGAACTACTACTCCCATCCGGACGATATCAGAACAATGTGGGAAAGTTATTACTACATCAGAAAACTGCTGCAGACCAAGACGTTCACAAAACTGAATATGAATTTGAAGTATGTGGAGATTCCAGATTGTAAAAACCAAAAAATGGACTACAATGACTATTGGACATGTAATATGCGACATTTGTCCTTCACGTTTTTCCATCCTGTTGGTACTGCCAAAATGGGTCCTCGAAGCGATCCCACGGCCGTCGTGGATCCTCGATTGAGAGTTCACGGTATACATAGACTGAGGGTCATCGACGCATCTATCATGCCAAGAATCACTAGCGGTAATACAAATGCGCCTACGATGATGATAGCGGAGAAAGGCGCGGATCTTATCAAGGAAGACTGGGATCCAAGCACATAAACATTCATTTTTGGACAATAATAAAGTGTGAGCATGAATGAAGTATATTTTGGATAAGATTGAGATCATTAAATCAAAGAAGACGCATAAAACGAGTTTGGAATGGCATGTAATATTTTTAAGACTAAGACCTTTCTTTATCTTGTTGTATTATAAATTATAAACTAAATTGGAAAATCTTATTTGGAGAAGGAAATCGAATATTTAGCAAAATTTTATCATATATATGTGATTTTATATGTTATATAAGTTATATAAGTTTATATGTTATATAAGTTTATAATATATATGTTTAATAATACATATTTTATATATATATATATTTATATATATATAAAATATATTATAAAATATAATGTATAATTATAAATTTTTATATACAGAGCCAAAAGTTTTGGAACGGCAAAATATCCAAAAAAAATATTGATTTATTTAAAAAATGCTTGAAACAAAATTAATAGAGTTTAAAAAAAGCTATCAGCTTACATATTGATATTTATTTGATCTTAACAACGCTTCTCAAGAATATCCCAAGATCATTCCAACTTTTGGCGAGTTTTGTATATTTGATTATATATATATATATATATATATATATATATATTTTATATTGATTTCATAAATCTTATCACATATGTCACATACAAACACATATACTTCTCCAAGTAGATGGATTTATAATAACATTTTGTCAACTTAAATATCATAATGGTTGTACAAGTATAAAAATGTTTTAAAACTTGCTTAGTACTCTCGCTAGCAAATGTTAAACCATGTTTATAAGTTTTTAATACACATTCCTAATAAATAATTACAACTGTGTTTTTATCTGTCTTGTTTTCATGTATTCCTATGATCTAATTAATGATAGAGTTAAATCTGTCAGTCTGTCGCTTGGAATAGGCAAAGTTAGAAAAAGCAACGACAGCTTTTCATGAAATAAAATCTATTTCGCATTACGATTATAAAAATGCCAACATCTGTAAATCACTTCGTCTCAAAAGAGGAATTTTCTTCCATTTGCGAAAAAAATTAATTTCTGCTGAAAATTCAGTCAGTCGGTCATATAGATGATGTACAGTAAGTTTCAATGAGTATTGGAACCTCGATCTGAAAAGAAAAACGTGGAAGAAAGCGAATACGAGGAAATGTACCAAGACGCGATGGCTCAAGTTTACAACTATTTGCGCTGCGAAGCGTGTAGCCACGAACGATTGTTTTCGCCTAGAAAATCGCGAAATACCGCCTGCCGTGAATTCTAATAAATCGACGAATGAGTTCCACGGCCCTTCCTTACGGCCATCGCGTTGTAAACAACGAACAGCGACAATCTAAAGCCTATTTCGTTTGTTCCGTCGTGAAGTCGCATGTTTATAGCGCACTTATAAGTTGTAACACTTCGACGAGCCGAACGATACCAAAATATCTAAATAAAAACGGGTGAAAGTTATCCTGCATTATTTGCCTATATTTCGGACAAAAATGTTATATACATCGAGTCTTGGGATCCGATCAGTTTTGACTCGCATATAATTACTCGTTGGCAATTGCCAACAGGCATTTCCTCTTTTCTAATAAGCAGAATTTAAGATCATTGCACTTACAACGCGATGAGCCGAGGCACTTTCATCCAACAGAGACATTCGCTCAAATATCTCAAGGATATTTCATCGAAATTACCAGAGACAAGAAACTCCGTAAGAAACTTCAGTACAGTGTAGAGAGAGAAGTGCTCAGGTGGCCTCTAAAGCACCCCGATACACTTTCGTTCCTGGCCAAGCAGGGCGATATCACCGCGAAACCGGAGTTCGGATCATGCTAAAGACATTCGCGCGCGAGTGCTACTCGGGACAACGTTGCGCGCATAGACGCGTTCGGTTTCGATCTTTTCCTCACTTCTGAGACGGATCATCTAAAGTAGAGAGGCTTCTTATTGTGCTTGCGGGGACTCGTTGTCGAATAGCTCTCATACAATGTTAACCACGCTTTTACATAATCGCACGATATTTCGCCTTAAACGATGAGGCAACGATCGGCTAAACACAGCTTTATCTAAACGCGAAAGGTCAGAGGTCGACCAGAGATCAAGCAAGACACAAAGTAATTCGTCATTCGGAGGATTCGACCCAATCACCATGTCGTGGGTACCACCGAATTTAGCGGAACTTTGCGTGCCGCACTCGACGATCTCGACGTGTCAACCTTCGACGTATCTGTTTTTGACTTTTATAGCACGGCTCTTTGGATATTCGACGGATCACAACTACCCCGTATTAGAGAGTTTTCAGAGTTACCACTACGCGTCCTCCGCGAATTGGAACGCATTCGCGATGTCGCCAACAGCCAGATACAATCCGGAAGACTTGAAGTGGAATTTGCAGAACGAACATGCCTTGATGCTCTTGCCACTGCAGTCGCCTCTCAAAATCGTCTACAACTCGCGCATTTACGTCCCTACATCCTGGAAGAGCCAAACGGGGAATCAGCCCCGTAAGAACTCCATCTCGGTGAAATTTCACGAGCCAAGACTGAGATTTACCGATTTTCGTGCTTCATTTGATGCAAGAGATCGGCACGTGACATCCCCGAGCGAGATGTTTTACAATCTGAGAATAGGCGATCCAGGCATTCGAGATCCGGAATTTTTTGAGAGAGCCATTGGAGTCGACCCTAATTATAGCGTGATGAACTTTCCGCAACCCATTGGATTTTGGCCAGAGCAGTACGACTTTATCATCGTCGGAGCGGGCTCGGCTGGCTGCGTTTTGGCAAACAGGTTGAGCGAAATCAAAGGATGGCGAGTGCGTAATACAAGCTTACTTCGTTTGTCTAATAATTTTTTAGAGAATAAATTGCATTGAATTCTTAAGATAATTGCAGCACTGACGCGGAAAAGTGAATGCGTGGACAAGATTGCGTTTCTTTTTAGTGCGGGTAACGCCTTCGCGTCGCACAAAACGAGCTTTGTAAGACAGCTTCATGAGAGTGCGCTTTTATGACGCGAAAATAGTGCTCCGACTGTCGTTAAACGGCAGATAATAATCGTGGACATTCTCGACTTCCAATTTGTAAAGCGCGTGCTTGCCTCCACGCGAATTTCGTGGTAATTCAATAAGAAACGAATGTCGTTTCAATCTTACGCATTTTTTTCAGGTGCTTCTGTTAGAAGCCGGAATAGAGGAGCCATTAGTAGCGGATGTCCCGGCATTCGCTTCCATATTGCAAGCGAGTAACATCGATTGGATGTATCGTACGCAGCCGGAAGAGCATTCGTGTCGATCCCGGAGAGGAGGTGGATGTCCTTGGGCTAGGGGTAAGGTAGGTATTTTCGGAAATAATTTACGAGAACGAGTTCTATCATCTGGATCGCTTTTCGCGTGTAGGTAATGGGCGGATCAAGTTCAATTAATTTTATGATATATATACGAGGCAACCCGAAGGATTATGACGAGTGGGCCGAGCGTGGAAATTATGGATGGAGTTTCAAAGAAGTGTTACCATACTTTCTCAAGTCCGAGAATAACGAGGACCCGGAGGTAACGAGACTTCAATTAACTTTCTTTTCTTTAACAAAAGAACACAAATACGCTCGTATACACTCGTATACGTTCGTATTATTAGATAATAATCTTTGTTACTACTAAATCAGTTTTTGAATATTCACTGATTATTGGTGAAATGCTCCCTTTTCAATCATTTTTTCAATGCTCCTGATTCAATCAGAAACACTTTTACTGATGCACTTTAAGGCTCCTTGCCCCTCATATTGTCTATCTCTTTTTAATGACGTCAGAAACGAGAAAATGCATGCTAAAAATTCTTACGAAATACGTTAAAATGAAAATATATATCCATAAGGTAACACTTGCAATCGATTAAACAAATTTGTAAGATATTCCGTGCACTCCCCTTTTGCTCTAACAATCAATAATTTGTCGTAAATTAACATTTCAACAATACAATTCATCTTCTTAATCTATTTCTTCGCCTATTTCTATTCAGTTTAATTTACAATAAATTATTGATTGTTAGAGTAAAAGGGGAGTGCACGGAATATCTTATAAATTTGTTTAATCGATTGCAAGTGTTACTTTATGGATATATATTTTTATTTCAATATATTTCGTAAGAATTTTTAGAATGCATTTTCTCGCTTCTGACGTCATTAAAAAGAGAGAGACAACGTGAGAGGCCAGGAGACTTAAGAGAGTACAAGAGTAATCAATCTGATCAAATTAAGAGGTCTAAAACATTCAGATCGTAAAGGAGAATCCGCATTATCACAGCCAAGGCGGCTATCAGAACGTCGAGAGGTTTCCCTATACAGATACGAATACTGAGATACTGATAAACGCATGGAAAGAGCTAGGATTCGATCTGGTGGACGCGAACGCGGAGAAGCAGATAGGAGTTCAACGTCACCAGATGACGTCCATTCACGGAACGCGGCAAAGTACGAACGGTGCATTTATCAGGCCTATCAGGCACAAGCGACGAAACTTGGTGATCAAGACGCGCGCTCACGTGACCAAAATCCAAATTGATCCAAGGACGAAGCGAGCGATCGGGGTGGAATATCTGTCGAGCGCCACCGGCTACGTGAAGGTCGCTCTTGCGCGGAAGGAAGTGATCCTGTCGGCCGGCACGATCAACTCGGTGAAGATCTTGATGTTGTCGGGCGTGGGTCCCGCGGAGGAGCTGACGAAACACGGGATACACGTGTTGCAGGACTCTGCTGTGGGCCGAAATCTTCAAGACCACGTCACCATGGATGGTCTCGTGATTGCGGTCAGCAACGTCACAGCCACGGCCGAGGACGACGCAATGAAGATGAAGGACGTTTATTACTTCAAGAAGAGTCACAAAGGTCCCTTAGCCGCGACCGGGCCCTTAACTTGCGGCGTGTTCGCGCGAACTTCCTACGTACATCATCATGGCCTGCCCGACTTACAGTTCGCCTTTGACGCCAGCAACCAGATGGACTACCTGCATCAACCCGCGGACTTTGCCGAGACCGCGGTGGAACCGCTGTCTTATTACGACGCTATCAACATCAGACCGATCCTGCTGACACCCAGGAGTCGCGGATTCATTCTCCTCAACGACAGCGATCCGCTTTGGGGCCCACCGCTGATTTATCCGAGAAGCTTCACGGAGTATCCCGACCTGGACGTTATAGTAGAGGGTATAAGGATAGCCCAGGCACTGTTCGAGACGAGAGCTTTTCGCGAACACGATCTGCGACTCATCGACGCGCCGTTACCGGCTTGTCGACACTATCGGTTCGATACGGACGAGTACTGGAGATGCGTCGCGATGGAGTACACCAGCACCATCTACCATCCCGTGGGAACCTGCAGAATGGGCCCGGAGAACGATCCCGAGGCCGTGGTGGACCCGCGTCTCAAGGTACGCGGTATTCAAGGCCTGCGCGTCGTGGACGCTTCCGTGATGCCGACGATCGTTCGCGGAAATACGAATGCACCGACAATTATGATCGCGGAGAAAGCCGCCGACATGATTAAGGAAGAGTGGCTGTGACGCGTCGGCCTTTATCGTTCTGTCGTCCTGTAAATAATATTTACACTGACAAGTGTGCGATGCGTGCATATGAAAACACGAAACCGTGTCGTCTATTAATGCAGAAGCCGCAAACGGCGCCATTAGTACGAAAAGTGGCGGGTGTGCGTGATTACTATAATAACAAGGACTATCAGCTACAAAGTAGCACGCGATAGATCAAGATAATTGGCTGCTGTCATTCGTTTCTCTTTCGATCCTTTCGCTTACCGAGCGATAAATAATATTATTTATATCAATGATACGAATTACACTTTAAAAAATTTGTAAATTACATGTGTAATACAATTTGTATTAAAATTACATGTAATTATGAGACCAACTATTATAGTTGTAAATTTACACACGTATCAAAATGTGTCTTTCGTCTATATAAATATATTTTTATGCGATAATTGTCATATTATAAAAGTGTGTACAACTATAATAATATTCACAAGTATTTACAACTATAATAGTTGGTCTCAAAATTACCCATTATAATAGATGTAATTTTTCACAAATTTTTTACAGTGTATTTAATATTACTTACATAATTATATTACAAACATATTAATAATTACATTAATTTTATATTAATATTTAATATTATTTATTACTCATACTTTTACTTTTTAGAATAATCAAATCGCCACGAAAGAAACGGTTGATTTATATTTCCTTTCCTTAGATTACATATCTATTGTATCAAAGTACATTTATTGACAAAGTATAAATATGTTTGCTATATCTCGAGACTTCAACGTGAAAGCATGAGAGGTTGCATATCAGCAGGCTTACTATGGAGACAGTCATAACAAGTATAGATTAGAATTTATATCAAATTTAGTTATTACTTCATATAATGCATGGTCATATATTTTAAAAACATAACAACATATTGGTCGTAATGCAACTTTAAGTAATGGATATTATAATACACATAGTTAATAAATTATTACAATAAATAAAACGTCAACAATCTCTTGTGCAATTATGTTCCTTTTAGGCACATCAAGTATCCTCGCTATAATTATATATACATACATACATACATATATATTAGGTGGTAAACTTAGTTCCTGCGGCTCACAGTTAGATGACGTTAGTTGTAGGTGTAATTTATTTTGACATCTGAAACTGGCTGCATGTTAGAGGTTAGACATTTGTCAATAAAATTTAGTGCGAAGAGATTCATTTAAGCGAGCAGTGCTATTTTTTCTTTTGATTAAATATGGAACATGATAAGTTGTTTTTTCGACATGTGCTGCTTCATTACTTTGGCTTGAAAAAAACTGCAGCTGCAGCTCATAAATTGCTTTTCGAAGCTTATGGCAATTATGCTCCATCGGAAAGAACATACCAAGTATGGTTTCAGCGATTTAAGAGTGTTGATTTTGATGTCAATGATAAAGAACGCTCAGGCCAACCGAAAAACTTTGAAGACACCGATTTGCAGGCATTATTGGACGAGAACTCTACTCAAACGCTCCAAGAATTGTCTGCAGCATTAAATGTTACTCCGATGGCTGTTTCCAAACGTCTACATGCAATGGGAAAAATTCAAAAGGAGGGAAAATGGGTACCACACGAATTAACCGCAAATGCCATTGCGAATCGCTTAAACATCTCTATTTCTCTGCTCGCCAGGCAGAAAAAGAAGAGTTTTTTGTGGCGCATAGTGACTGGCGATGAAAAATGGATATACTTCGATAATCCTAAACGAAGAAAATCATGGGTAGACCCTGGCCAACCATCGACATCCACACCAAAGAGAAATATTCATGGCCACAAAGCAATGCTTTGCATTTGGTGGGATATGCACGGCGTCGTTTATTATGAGCTACTCAGACCGAACGAAAGTATCAC